ATAAATTCTGATGATTGAATTCAGCATAAAATAAATAGTACATCAATCTCATTCTTGTATTTTTCATCATACAATAGACAATTTATAACTAGTGTTTGCTGTATGGTGTGATTTTTACTAATTTTGTAAAGTCTCACAGCGACTTTAAGACGTTCAAAGGCATTGTTTTTCGTACTCGTACCTTTATCTTGGTTGTTTGCCTGAAATGTTGAGGGATTCGGTATCATTGTCTACACTATTCTTTCTCTCGGTAGCACAATACAAAGATTATTTTACCCCTAATCAGACAACTTTAAACGGATGTAACCTCTTTCATCCAGCTTTAAATTTTATAGGGTACCAAAAGAAAGAAGAAAGATTAAAGTGCCAAATCAGTCTAAATGTCGAACTATTTTTTTATGGTTTTACTTCTTTCAAATAAATTTAGGAATCGATTGCAAAAAACCCGATTTCAAATTTCTGTGTATTTAAAATGATGAGAATTTCATTATGACATAATTATTACATGATTAGTTGCTATATTGTGATGTCCACACTTGAATGAAATAAGCTTCTTTGTTTTTCATTCCATCCCAAAATATTTTAAAGATTCTTGTACAACACAGTTTGAACTCCGAAACCATGTCTCAGATTTTCCCTATTGCATTTCATTCTCTCATAAACCTTCAATGAAGATGTCAACCTCAGTTTATAAGAGATCACTAAATTTAATTGGGTAGAACATTTGTTCTATTGATGCTTTTTGGATCTGAGACTATATGTTGAAGATAACTGTTCAAGGAACAACATGTGTGAAAATCAGGCATATAGGGGCACACTTCTAGTACTGTAGCTAATTTCATTTAAAACTACATTTTAATGTCAATAAAACAACAAGAGTGCACACGCTGAAATGTCTCGCCTTCTTTACTAATCATTGATATTATGTTGATAGTCCTAAATATAAAGCTTTATTACAACTGTCACATAAACTTAACATTAACCAAGTAAACTAAACATTGACCAATGAACCATGAAAATGAGGTCAAGGTCAGATGAACCATGCTAGGCAGGCATGTACAGCTAACAATTCTTCCATACAACAAATATAGTTGACCTATTGCTTATAGTTTAAGAAAAACAGACGAAAACACAAAAACTTAACACTGAGCAATGAACCTTGAAAATGAGGTCAAGGTCAAATAAAACCTGCGTAACTGACATATAGATCATAAAATATTTCCATACACCAAATATAGTTGAACTATTGCATATAGTATTAGAAAAAAAGACCAAAACTCAAAAACTTAACTTTGACCACTGAACCATGAAAATGAGGTCAAGGTAAGATGACACCTGCCAGCTAGACATGTACACCTTACAATCATTCCATACACCAAATATAGCTGACCTATTGCATGCAGTATTAGAAAGAAAGACCAAAACTCAAAAACTTAACTTTGACCACTGAACCATGAAAATGAGGTCAAGGTCAGATGACACCTGCCAGCTAGACATGTACACCTTACAATAATTCCATACACCAAATATAGTAGACCTAGTGCATACAGTATAAGAAAAACAGACCAAAACACAAAAACTTAACTATAACCACTGAACCATGAAAATGAGGTCAAGGTCAGATGACACCTGCCAGTTGGACATGTACACCTTACAGTCCTTCCATACACCGAATATACTAGACCTATTGCTTATAGTATCTGAGATATGGACTTGACCACGAAAACTTAACCTTGTTCACTGATCCATGAAATGAGGTCGAGGTCAAGTGAAAACTGTCTGACGGGCATGAGGACCTTGCAAGGTACGCACATACCAAATATAGTTATCCTATTACTTATAATAAGAGAGAATTTAAGATTACAAAAAATCTGAACTTTTTTTTCAAGTAGTCACTGAACCATGAAAATGAGGTCAAGGACATTGGACATGTGACTGACGGAAACTTCGTAACATGAGGCATCCATATACAAAGTATGAAGCATCCAGGTCTTCCATCTTCTAAAATATAAAGCTTTTAAGAAGTTAGCTAACGCCACCGCCGCCGCCGCCGCCGTAGCCGCCGCCGCCGCCGCCGGATCGCTATCCCTATGTCGAGCTTTCTGCGACAAAAGTCGCAGGCTCGACAAAAATGAATGTGTCAAAATTGAATAAATAAGAATTTTCCTACTTTTACCCCATTTACTTCAATATAATTCACACATGTACCATTTGGATACTTCAGGATTGGCCTTTCATCATAAATCAGTTAGGTTTTGACCAGTAAGAAAGCATTTCATTTCAGCAATTCTAAATATACAAAGAAAATGCACACACCTACGCATCAATATACATCTGGCGGGAGATGTTATATCATCACTGACCTTGCTGTAAGTCACGGTTGCTACTGATATGGTCAAAACTCCGCTTATTATGATAAACAGTTACAATAAATAATATCAGAAATTTAATTACACATTGCATTTTCAATATTGATTTTATTCCTCTTAGTACATAAAATAATATATTTTGTTTTTTTGCATTCATTTTTGTTACAAAAAGTAAGTTATGCATGTGTACACAAAATGATCAGTTGGTCAGTTTAGATGATCTTTATGGGGGATTTCTAGAAATATATATTGTATACAATGACAAAATGGTGTTTTACTCCAAGTATATTTTTTTTTATTTTTGCAGTTTGAAAATGAAATATTTAATTCTTTTAATAAGAATTCATATTTATTACATTATCCTCAAGAAATTCTAGTATAAACATCAGCAACATTAATTGTTAAAAGAAGTAACAAAAACAGATGAAAATTAAATTTGATAAAATTTAGTTGCTTTTGTATTGTGCTACCTTAAATATAATTCTAAGATAAGCATGATATAATTTCATGTAAATATTCCGAATATTTCATTAACTCTCTGAACTCGACTATCAATTACTTAAATCATAATGCTCTTTAATTTTCACCCATCTTAAACAAAATGTGGTTCTGATGGGCGTTATCCTAATTTGTGAATAGCCTTCAAAGTTGAAGAGTGATTGACAGTAAATACAATGTATATAATAGAATCATTTGTGATTGACAGTAGCCCCACCTTATAACCATATGGCACAATACAGCTTATACTACATTTACTTTTGACCCTTTCGGGACTGTTATAACTTAAATGTAAATAATGTACATGTTTCAACAATTATAGCGTAATCTGTATTTTCTTTTGAACCTTATGGTACGTCAACTGGACGCTTAAGCTGCATATGCTATTTATTACAGCATAGGCTGCATTTAATATAGCATATGCTGTATTAATTATAGCATACGCTGTATAAATTACAGCATATGCTATATATTATAGCCTAAGCGACATTAATTACAGCATAGGGTACATAAATTATAGCTTAAGCTGTAGTTTATATAGCATATGCTGTATTAACTGTAGCATATGCGAAATAATTTACTTTTGACCCTTTCCGTACGCCATATTTTTATCCTGCAATTGGGTGTCTTATCATACATTAACAGCCCAACAGATATCGATAGCCTGTATTTGTATACTATATAGATATCGCTTTGAAGCTCCGCCCACTGCCGGACTATTTTTGTGTATTGCTGTTGAAGAGTGTTGTATGAACTTTCGTGACCTCAGAATTTGTATTGCAATCGCATTCCAATGACGTATTGCTCCGTCTGTGAATGTTCCAGTCTCCGATCCGCAACCTACTTTCTGCCCAAAGACAAACATGTACAGCAGGATTAACTCCATTTCTTATGGCACAAATCTTCAAGTTCAAAACTTGAATGTGTAAATGTATAGCACTCAAAATCAACCATGCAACAATGTCAATAATTAGTGAATGCACGGACAGTTCGAAATTCTGAAACGAAGGACAAATCAAACTCTTTTGTCTTAAATCGGACAATGTTTTGATATTTATTTTTACTGTTGAAATTAGTTGTTATGTTATAATAAATAATTATTAACTATGAGCGATGCATTATTGTTGATCATGCGAGATTCTTTTCGGCGTACCGGTCATCCGCTGATTGTTTGATTTTTTTTTTAACATTACTACGCAGGCCTCAAATGATTTCAAATCGAAAATAAATGCAATAAATGTGAGTTTTTCTGTCTTTCAAAGTAAATACGATGCACAAAATTAATTGCAGGATAAAGACAATAACTGTTTAGTGTCTTTAAATATCAGCTGTATTTGTACTCGGCTCGAAAAAGGAGTAATAGCTCGCTGAAGCTCGCATTACACCCGTTTCTTAGCCTCGTACAAATACAGCTGATATTCAAAGACACTAAACAGTTATTGTCTCTTTATCTTTCCAGTTGAACGTAGATAACGTTTGTTGAAATCAACTGGAGAGCTACACCTAGTTGGATATAGCCAACGGAATATCACTGTCTTCAAAATAACATATCAACTTGGAACAAGAAAATGTTTCTTTGTTAACATTTGATTTTACTTATTTAACACATAAAATCGATCGTTATACAGAAAAAAAAAGAAAAATCTCGGTGACTGTTATATTTTTTCTTTGATGATGAGATCTTAGTTTTAACAGAAATGTGTTAATATAGGGATATGTTTACTATTAATAGAAGAGTATAATTAAAGGTTTTAAAGCTCATTTCCTTTTTTCCGTTCATAAATTGTATCTATAAAATAAACAATGTAACAAAAAACCAAGCGAAACCTTAGTAATATAAGGACGTTTCTTCGTGGATTTTAGGACAGGAAAGTGCACTTTGTTTCTTATATGTCTAATTTAAAACGTCCGTATACATTGATCACATTGCAATATGACTTCATCACCTTAGTATGTGAAAACCAAAAATACTAATTTCAAACAAACCACATAATTACACAATATCGGATGTGGTACATTATAATACAAAAACAACCTAAATAAATTCATTCACTTTCATGTACTTAACGTTACAGACAATATAATAACATTATATGTTATAAATTTCTAATTCATAGATATATGTGACCTTGAGTAGTATAACATACCATGAATGACAATAATGGTTTGTGTGTAAAAACAGAGGAAATATCTAGACTCGCCATGGAAGAAGTACACGAAGTTATGATTAAAGAAGAAGCTGCTGGTAAGTAAAGAATACATGCAACATGTTCTCTGAAGCAACATTCCAGCAGCACCTGCATACGGAGTATATATCTCCTAGTTAGTTCAATATTCCAGGGCTTGTATTTCCTATCATGATTTTCTTGAAAGAGGGTTGCTTGCTGCTCACATGGAAGCTGTAAAACCAAGAGTTCCAAGTGGTGAAGTTGATATCATCCCTTCGTAAATTTTACGGACGCCATCACGAGTTGGTTGGCCGTTATGGAATATCTGTTTCACAGATGCCAACGAATATGTTCCAAATGTCGTAACTACAATTCCAATCCCTTTTCCACGAATGTGACCTACCGAATTAGACTCATCACCGGCTTTGTAATAACATGATCAACACGACGGGTGCCACGTGTGGAACAGGATCTGCTTACCCTTCCAAAGCACCTGAAATCAACTCCTTTTTTGGTGGGGTTCGTGTTGTCTTTAGTTTTCTATGTTGTGTTTTGTGTACTGTTGTTTGTGTGTTGGTCTTTTTCTTTTTCAGCCATGGAGTTGTCAGTTTTATTTGCTTCTTGTGAGTTTGAATGTCCCTTTGGTATCTTTCGCCTCTCCACTGTGGTAGTGACTATATAAACAAAGTTTCGCCTTTAAAACGGAGTAACATCCTTCAGATATTAATTTTCGATGTACGGTTGCAGTTTTAAAATCATGTTGACAACCTCTGCTCCTTTCCATTAAAAAACCAAACCCGAATAATAAGTGTTGTTTTATTCCTCTCATTATCGATCTGTTCATTAACCTCGAAAAGGTATTGATCGCTAAATGGTATCGGAATTCTTCGTATTAAAGATGACAATGAATACATGATTATTAAGAATTATTTATAGGTTAAATAATACTTGGTCATGTTTTATGAATATTTAAAGCCCGAGTCGTAGCCGAGGTTTTTAAATGTTCATAAAACATGACCAAGTATTTTCTGATTAATTTAAAACATATTCACACCTTCGAGTGACATAACAAAATAAGCCTCTCATTTAAATGATCAAACTTTGATATTAGCTCACTTTAAGCGTTAGCATGTTTAGTAAAAGAAAAGTAAATCATGTTATGGTCATTTCAACGGGTGGAATGACAGAGCAATAGTGTTGTGATAACACAAAGGATAAATTATATTCAAAAATGGAGATTTCTTCTGCTTCAGGTACAGTTCAATCTTATATATCTAAAAATCCTTCATTTTAAAAGCACAAAATGCTATATAATTCAGCTTTTCTAAAATTGTATAATTTTTAAATAAGGACAAAACTTCATCAATAGATTTTAATTTACAATCGTTTCAACATCAGATGCTTGCTTTTTTATTGACAACTGTATAGTTTGTTTTTCAAAACTTCCTTTGATTTTTTTTTATCAACAGTAGTTGTTTTTTAAAACATTGAGTTTGAGGTCTGGTATAAAAGTTAGATTAAATATTACATGCATTTTACCTACACCTTTGCCCCCTTTTCATTTTTTTTGGGGGGTCTATATATGTACCATTTAAAACATTTACAATATTGAAATCTCAACTTAAAATGCTTTTGTAATTCTATTCTCCTGATTTCATTTATACTGCTTGGTAAGTAGACAAACAACACTACTCATGTTTTTTTTCCTATGCTCTTGTCCCATCGACATTGGATTGGGGGGTTGTACACTTCGTTAGTGGAATTTTTAAGAGTTCACTTTCATAAATAATCCACAATGAAAAATCATTCATGTGTAGCATTTTATAGTTCATGGAAAGTCATGTACTATGAAAAATAGAACGGAAAATACTGATTTTTCATTGAACGCGAATGGGTGAGTATGTTCTAAATACCTATATGGAGTTATTTTGTTTTAGAACGATAGGTCTTTCTTTTGAAGAATCAACCCGGACGATACCAAGTTTCAATGAAATTTGCTTCAATGCATTAAATAATGATCTTTTTACGGTCATTATTTTCTGTGATAAAAATGCAAACTATAATTTACTTAAACATTCAATTCATTTGAAAGTTATCGTGTGCTGTTGCTAATTGAGATTCTACTTTTTAATTTTCCATCTTTGATAAGATTAGGGCAGAAACAATCCTTTCCTCCGTTTATTAGACTGAAATACAAACAAACAAAAATCATTGATGCATATTTCAACTTTCAAAACAAATAATGTGAAGTTTGTAAATTTATCGCTACAATAAAGGTACATTATGTGAGATGCATCTAATAAAGCAAAACGTTTTATAAACTTTTTAAACAAGCCAAATATAACACATTCGAGTGTGGAGGGGGGTTATAATATTCAATCCTGGTTCTAAGTTTTAAAAATAATTGTATTGTCAGACAAAAGATTGATTGTTTGTTGGTTGCTTATCTTCCAGTGGCAAATATTTTATGCATGTTCAGCATGTTCGGCAAAACCGAGAAAACAATTATTCTAAATAGTTATTCAGAATTATTGAAAAAATTAGCTGCCTTTCCGAGATAAAAATGTCATGAAAAAAACCCATAGCGCCCCCTTTCAAAAACTAAGTTGATACAATAAATTTCTTTCGTTTTTGCTAATGTACTTTGTCTATATAGATATAAGAAGATGTGGTATGAGTGCCAATGAGACAACTCTCCATCCAAGTCAAAATTTATAAAAGTAAACCATTATCGGTATAGGCTTTATGTTTTTCTTTGTTGACATATTTGTTTGTTTTTATAGTGATTAAGATTATGACACAATGTTGACTGCTGTACCACTATTTTTGACATGTTTACCTATTATGTCTGTTTGTTTTGTTCACACATCGTTGTCAATATAATGGAATTTTATGGAGCTATAAAACCAGGTTTAATCCACAATTTTCTACATAAGAAAATGCCTGTACCAAGTTAGAAGGAATATGACAGTTGATGTGTTTGAGCTTTTGGTTTTGCCATTTGATTAGGGAATTTATTTGTGTCTTGCGTCATGCAGTTACAGTAATATTTGATTGTAACTTGATAATGATGTCTAAAGTTTTTATATCTAGATTTAGAATATAGCAAAGTGCTCTCAGCAAATGCAATTGTAGGATTTGATGTTTCTGAATTTTAAAGAATGAAAGTAAATCATGTTCTTAGTAAGAAATTATCCTATTGTTTAGACCTATTTACAGTTCCAAACAAAGAGTTTTATAAATGAGTTACAAATTCCCCGAAGCACATTTATTAGCTTGAAAGGATTTGTGATTAAAACTGACTGAAAGTTTAATTTTAGAACAAATAACAAAGTCAAAATAAGTTCTTTCTGGTACAATTGGTACCATTAATGTTATTATATGAATATTCATAACTTCAAATTTACTAAAAAATAAACAATATCAAAACGATTCAAAAAAATAAAGAAAAAGTTTTAAAATTAAATATAACCTAAATCTTTAGCTAATACGCTTACCAAAACTCAGACTACTGGGCCCACTGTTAGTAAGAACAGTAATTTCCAATATTCCGATAAGATTAAGAAAAAATCAGGAATTTAATTTGACTTTTGAATATATATATGAAGCACTTTATTTGAACATTTAGTTTTAGTTAACCAACTCGTTCGTTATGCCCGTGTGTGTAGTGATGTCATAGATTTTAACGAACGTAATCAATGCATCACTGGTAAATTATTAAGTCAGGGATTTCGTTACCATAAATTACGTAAAACTTTTGCTAAGTTCTTTCATAGATACAAAGATTTGATTAGTAAATTTGGCTGTACTTGTAGAAAACCGATTAAAAACGGTATTTCACATCCTAAATTTTACGGTAATATTGTACTTAAAGCGCGGAAATCACTATGTGATCCGTGTAAACTCATCAAACCTTTAAACAAACTTATTAGTAAAGGTTATCTTACCAATGTTGTAATTGGATCTTTGAATATAGTTTACATTGGCACTAATATCAATTTTGTCATCAGTAATTAAAACATAACTCAATTTGTATTCTTTTCAAACGGGATGTATAAAGACACACCCACGTTCATTTTGATCTATAAAGAGGTTAAACTCCTAACTATCCTACTGTCTGTCGATACATTTATTTTTGGCATTGCACAAGTCATGTCTTCTTTGACTGTCCATGACGTTAAAATACTAAATCCCTGGGATGTGTTTTAGCTGATTTTAGTCTCTGATGCATGATTTTTTATTATTAATTGTTTTGGCTTTTAGCTAGCTGTCAGTAACTACGAGTACTCTCAAATCGTACTTTCTTGTTTATTTGACCTGTTGATACAAATTGTAATGCTTTTTTTGTAATTTAATGTTATTCAGGGTTATATCTGGTCTATATACCAGCTTTGATAAGTGTTTGGTATTACTATAAATTTTCACTTCGTACTATGAACATCAAAATTATTCATTTTGTAAAAATATTTCCTTTCTCTATTGGAACTGTACACGTATACCTACAACAAAATTATTTTCATTTACCTGTGTTTAAAGTTATTGCAAATGGCTGATATTTTTGTTCGAGCATATTGCTTTTCTTAAATTGTTTAACATTTCATACCGATATAACATGTTACTTTTATTATTCTTCCCTTAGTTTATTTATTTAGGTCAAATTTAATTGTTCAGTGTATGTTCACTGGTGTTAATATGTCCTTTGATTGAAATAAGCTATTTCAGTTGATATTTTATAGTGTGTCTTTCTATGTTGTGATGTTACACTATTGTTTCAGAAACAGGGTGAAGGTTTGGTACCATTAAAACGTTTAAACCCGCTGCATTTGTTTGCACCTGTCCTAAGTCAGGAATCTGATGTTCAGTAGTTATCGTTTGTTGATGTGGTTCATAAGTGTTTCTCGTTTCTCGTTGGTTTTCCCGTTTGAATGGTTTTACACTAGTAATTTTTGGGGCCCTTTATAGCTTACTGTTCGGTGTGAGCCAATGCTCCGTGTTGAAGACCGTACTTTGACCTATAATGGTTTACTTTTATAAATTTTGACTTGGATGGAGAGTTGTCTCATTGGCACTCGTACCA